CCCCGCGCCCTCAGCATCACCAGTCCGCATCCCTCGCTATCCCGGTGTTCTTTTACTTCGGCGTCTTACATTTAAAAGAACACCCCGCGCCCTCAGCATCACCAGTCCGCATCCCTCGCTGTCCCGGTGTTCTTTTACTTCGGCGTTTTACATTAAAAAGAACACGCCCCGCGCCCTCAGCATCACCAGTCCGCATTCCTCGCTGTCCCGGTGTTCTTTTACTTCGGCGTCTTACATTTAAAAGAACACGCCCCGCGCCCTCAGCATCACCAGTCCGCATCCCTCGCTGTCTCGGTGTTCTTTTACTTCGGCGTCTTACATTTAAAAGAACACGCCCCGCGCCCTCAGCATCACCAGTCCGCATCCCTCGCTGCCCCGGTGTTCTTTTACTTCGGCGTCTTACATTTAAAAGAACACGCCCCGCGCCCTCAGCATCACCAGTCCGCATCCCTCGCTGTCCCGGTGTTCTTTTACTTCGGCGTCTTACATTTAAAAGAACACGCCCCGCGCCCTCAGCATCACCAGTCCGCATCCATCACCTGCCACACCCCTCGCTGTCCCGGCGGTCCGGCTTACCTTCGCAGTTCTTTCTATTGGTTCTGCTCCTGTATCATTATTGCGCAGGCGTTTTTTGGCCAGGCGCGTGGGAATCCTGGTAGTGCTCGCTAGTTGCGGACCCTGCCAGTTCTTTGCGCCCATGAGTGCCCCATCGCTGGCTTCGGAGACAAGCCAAGCGTCGCAATCGGCTAATTGGGGCACCAAGAAGTTCAGCGGCTGCAAATATTGCAGGCGTGACCGCACTTGGCCGAACCCGAATACCCACAACCGTGCGCCTTGTACTTGATCTAACGTCTGATTTTCATGTTCAGGTCTTGGAAAGTTTAACAGTCAGGAGGGCTACTCCGGGATACTTTTAGAAAACTTTTAGATGTCTGTTAGATGTTTTGGATTGCTCAACCCTACCTGGCACTGCTAAGGAGGCGCGTCCCCACCTCATGTTCAAATCCGATCGTCATGGCGAATGCCTCCCGTGCCTGGCGTTCATCCGCAAGGTTCATCCCGACAAGGCCTCCAGTGAGGGGAGGACCAATCTGGCCAAGACCTTGGCCGGCAACGAGACGCTTTACCAGGAGCTGCGTGTTTGATTTGAATGCGCCGTTTTCCATTTACTGGGCTTCAAGACTCGCCTCGAGACATGTCAGGTCCAGGTCCAAGCCATATCCAGGCATGTGTCACATGTCCTTGAAACTGAAAGCGCTCAAGGCGCCCTGTTCTGACCTTCTTTTCACATGGTAGCGTTTTAGCAGCTTAGCGTTGAGCTGGAGCTGGTTTACCTTGCCACCCACTTATCATTCCACCCATTCCGCAACCCAGGAGTACACCGCAGAGCTGGGCCAGTTCGAGGAGACGTTCGTCAACATCCCGCAAGCATCCAAGAAGCGGAAGCTGA